CAGATGGATGAAGTACACTGCTGAGGGGAGCAGTGGGCGGGTCAGGAGAGGTCTGCCGCGCCATGGGGGTCACCTCTTTGACCAGGGTTTGAACTCATGTTAAAGCGACTGCAGCTGGCTTCATAGTGCTGTGCTTTAACCCACCGCACCACCAGGGAGTGCCCGAAATATGGGCCTTAGCACAGGAAGAAAGCAGTTTCGCAGGGGACTGAGTGTAAGCATGTGGGCCGGTGAGGGGCGAAGTGCAGAGACAGGATCCGTGGAGTTGGGGAAGAAAGAAAGAAGCCTGGTGCTCACCATCCAGGCTCTAGGAAAAGCAGTGGTCGTGGATAATCACCAAAATGAGAGAAAATATCTGCAGTGTGGAAGGGAGAAAGAGAAAGAGGCAGCGAGGGAGGTGTTAGGCCCTGAACAGCTGAACAGCGCCGGGAAGAGCAGAGTACAGCCCCATGCCTTGGGCAGCATTTGCCCTGCCCAGCAGAAGGGTCACTAGCCACTTGTGATCTATGTAGGTGGTGACTCCTGCGGTCACAGAAGACGTTCAGGGTCATAGCAGTAAAAAATCAGGACAGGACAACAAGCATTTTAATGCCAAGATCCTCACCATGCCCCCTGCTCCCTGCTCCCCTCACTCTAGCCAAACTGTTCCTCACTGAGCATGTGGAGTTCACATCAAATCTTTGGTTTAGAATGCAGGGCACCCATGGGCTTTGACCTTCCCAGAGTCACTGGAGAGTGGCTGTACCAGGCCAGCTCTCAAATCCCAGCCAAAGCCCTTTCCTAAAAGAGAAGGAGCAGCAATAACAATAAAAAGACTTAAAAAAAAAAAGTTAGGAGCTCAAGACAGCAAGAGCATTTTCCAAAAGACGGTACAGAATTCATGCATTCAAGTAAAATGCATGGAACAGGGTGAATTTTATGGTATGTGAGTCATATCTCAAGAAAGCTGATGTTACAAAAAAAAAAGACCGAATGCCTGCAATGTCAACTTTTGACGGTTTATTTAAGAAATAAATTAAGAGTTACATTAAGAAATTTAGTCAATTCATTTTAGTCTCTATTTTTTCTGTTTAGTTAATGAGAGTCATGAAACTCAGAGCTATATGAAAGTTAGGTCTCACCTTACAGTGGGTAGCCACGGGTAGGATGTGAGTTACAGGGGCCAGAGTTACTCAGCCAAGACCAGGCGGCTTCTCTGTGTGATTGTTGAGACTGGGGGTTGGGCTGGGGAAATGGAGTCAAGGAAAGACTAGAAGGAAGGAGTTGCTGCCTGTGGTCTCAGGGAGATCAGGGTTCGGACTTAGGGAAGGGACATAAAACACGCACGTCAGGCGGTCCCTTGTTGGTTCCAAATGCAGAGGGAAAGAATGTGAACCTAAGACAGTGATCTCCACTCCTGTGGTCAGTAAATCCCTGATCAAGGAGCAGCTCTGGGCAAGACGGCTGCCTGAAAAGGGGCCTCCCCATTTGGGCATGTGATCCCCTTCAACAGGTGCATCAAAGTGCCGCCCGCAAGTAAACAGATCCCCCAGGCCTCCCAATGTCAACTAACTAGCACCTCAACTGTTCAACGTGGAGCCCAAGCCGAGACCAAGCAGCATCTGGGGCTATTGGCCTTGGCCGAGAAGGCGGCTCCTTCCCCCACCAGACACTGCCTGTCCCACCGGGGTTGTCTGTCACTACCTGGGGTAGAATGAAAGGCTCATCTCAGGCCACAGAATGAGGGCTCCCTCCTATGTTATCACAGGAAAGGGGAGTCCCCAGAAAGGCCAGCTGTAGCAGCGCATATAGAACAACGCATGAAGAAACGATGCTCGGGAAAGCTGGTGGAGGGTGGAAGCCATCAGGACCAAGCGCAGGGGCATGTGGCAGGATCTGGTGTCACCAGGGAGGTCTCACCCTGGGTCCCAAATCTCTGGCTCATGCTGCCAAGCTGGAATAGGCAAAAGCTAAAGAAAGTGCTGGCAAACTGGGTTCAACCTCTCTGAGGGGGTCAGTTAGGGGACACTGAGGCAGAGTCTCCAGATTCCCTTTCTGCCCATCTGGTTGCTCCTTGCAGTCCAGACCGGGAAGCCTGAGGTTGGGTGAGAGAGTCAGGTGGCCTTGTCAGGGGGCAGCGAGGCTTTGCAGCATTTCACCAGCTCATAGAATGTTCTGAAGCAAACCCCAGACATACTGGGGAACGGAATCCTGGAGGCTGGGGTTGCCCTAGAAAAATCTCCCCTGCCTGACCAGTCTATGAAAAGAGAAAACGTGTCAAAACAAAACAAACTCAGGCATGGATGTTTTTAAGAACCTCACTCCCATGAAACACTTTCCCTCTGAAGGACAGAAATGAAAAGAAATAAATTAGAGAGGAGCGAAAACAATTAAAAACCAAAGAGGATGTAGCAGAGTGTCTTCAGCAGCGAGTCACAGGAAAACTGAACCCTGCACACACCTATGGCATTTATCATTTATGTAACGAGTCGTGGGAGGAAGTGGACCCACAACTGCAGCACCTCAAAATGGAAGCAAGTCCCCAACGCTAGCTGCTCTTAAGCTAAGAGTGCGATTCCGTGCCCCGCTCAGCCCGAGAGTGCTGGCACGCTCAGAGGGAGACAGGAGACACGGGACTCTGGGCCCAGGAAGAGGCACCCAGCTCGGCCTCCAGCTGGCAGGGGTCACCTGGGGTCAAGGCCCTGCCTGTGGCAGACTCGCTCTCTCCACCTATAAAGGTGAGATGATGAGGTCCAGCTGGCATCCACCAACAGCTTCAGGGCTTGGCTGGCCCTTCTGAGCCAAAGCCACGGAGCACTGGGCCAACATGAAAGGAGCTGCTTCCCTGCCCTCTGACCCCTCTGCGGCTGTGTTACCTGCCTCGAGAGTCCTGGGAAGACCTTGCCACCTAGCCCTGAACTAGTTAGTGTCACATCCTGCCAGAGACCTGCCCGTTTTTGACACCTGTATGCCTTCCAGCCTCTACATCTATTCTCGGGCCTCTCTTTGCACTTGGAAGCCACCTGCTCTCTTGAGCAATTCTCCTCATCCTTCAAGGCCCGACCCAGCAACCCTCCCTTCTTTACACAGCCAGTCACTCTGCTTCCTGAATTGCTAGGTGCTCCTGCGCTTCACTCTTGTATCATTTTGCACAAGAAGAGTATGGTTGCAGCGCCTTCCCCCCATTGAGGACTCTCAGTCCACGATAATGCCATCCATTCACCCTACGTGGGTGGAGAAGACCCTCCATCCTTACTTGCCCCTGACAGCATCATGAACCACCCATAAGACTGCTTCTCAGGGCCAGAGGGCCTGCCTGTGGCTGGGAGACCGGTGAGACCTGAAACAGACCCTCTGTTGAGACCACAAACCACCTGGGAGCCTCATTCTCACCCCAAGGCTACTACGTGGGAATCTGTGAAGAAGAAGCCCGCAGAGACAACACTCTGCTGCAGGGACTGGGAGACGTGGGTTTGCATTCGCCCAAGTTCTCATCTGCTTTTAAGATGCTGTGACACTGACAAGAGCCTACAGAATGTGGTTCAATCTTCCCGGCTCGGTCTGCAGGAAGAAGGAGACTCACTGTCACTGTTCCTTCAGCTTTCGTCCTCCTCAGTCAGTCATGCATTTATGGGATGGCTGTCACATAGAAGGTTCTGCCCCAGAGGCCCTGAGGAAGGGAGCCTCCTACCAAGAGTGTTAGGGGATCCCGGCATGAAGGGAAGCTCCAGAGCGGAGAGGAGAGACAGCACAACCGCAACCTTCATGCTGCCACCTGCCCTGTAGGTGAAAGGCCCACGACACTTCCCCCAATCGTTGCCAGCCCCTGTGGTGGCCTCTTCAGCGTGCTGCTGTCACCTCCCCCAGCCACTGCCCCATCTCCACCTGGAACAGCTAGTGCAGACTCAAAGGGTGCACTCATGCCCAAGTTAGCTCCCTCTGAGAGGCTCTCAGAATTTCATGGAAGCTCCTGGAGAGAATTCTGGCTCTCTCCAGCTGAAGGAAAGAGGGAAGATGAAGCCAGAGCGGTTAGAGTCCCTGAGGCCACCGCGCCACCTACAGGACAGAGCCTGTTGCTGCCGGGAGCCCCTGAGATGGGCAGCTGCAGAGAGCCTGGCCCGCGGCCAATCTCACCTGGGCCCAGGCTGGTCTCCTCTGGGCCCTGATCCAGCTGTGCCTGCAGCCAAGGGGACTCGGGACTTTTCATGGCCCTGAGCCAATAAATTCCTGGTTTAACTTTAGCAGTGAGTGCCCCTACAATGAATTTCTGTCTTGCAGAAGCATCCAGCTGATTCCTGTCAACGTAGGGACCATAATGTTGGCATGCCTATGTAATTAAACATGCTTCCAGGCACTTTCATGTATGTGATCCCCTGCAACTTCCACAAGGACCCCCAGAGGCAGCTTGTGGTGAGGGGTGAGGGAAGGAAATCCCTACTAATGCTCAGAGAACAATGTGTTCTAGACCCTTATAGCCAAAAATGTGCTCTACGGACTGGTAGCAATGGCATGTCCTATGAGCTTGTCAGAGCTACAGAATCCTAGCCCTGCCCTAGACCCACAGAATCAGAAATTCTCACAAGATTCACAAGCGATCTGGATGCTCACTGAAGTTTGAGAAGCTCCACACCGGACACTGGCTCTGCTGCTGGCTGACTAGGCAGCTGTGTGATAATGACCTGCTTCCTCTCAGTCGGTCACTGCTCACAGAGAGCATAAGACCACACTAAGGAGATGCACAGAGACTGCAAAGCCAAAACAGGTCTAGGTTTTAATCACGGTTCTACCAGCAACTAGGATCTTGGGTGTGATACTGAACGTTTATTTGCCTCAGTTTCCTCATCTGTAAAACTGGGATAATAATACCTGTCTAGCAGGCCTGATGTCAGGATTACAGTAGATAGTGTCTGTAAAGTGCCCGGCACAGTACTTGACCCAAAGAACAAGGGCTCAGTGAAAGACACCTCTTCTTGCTATTATGTTGGTACTGTTATAATTACTGTTATTATCCACCCCACACACCTCGCAGGGGAGGCTGACTGACGGTGAGACTCAGAGCGACAGCCTAAGAAAAGTGCTTAGAAGGAAAGAACTCACAGAATAGCCCCTCACTGATCTGGAAACAGAGGCTGCCTGGCCCAAGTGTGCCTATGTGGAAAGGGGCAGCGTCTAGGGGTCACTACCTTCCCACAGGCACTGTGGCGACCTGTCCTTCCTCCACCAGGCTGAGCTCCCCACCAGCTAGCCGTGCCAAGGAGGGGTCTCTCTCTGCGCACGTTTGCTGAGAGCGGAGGGTGACATCTGACCACTTTATCCTGCCCCCTCAGCAAGGTACTGCTCTGCCCTGTTACTTTGCTTTAAGAAGCTGAGTACTGCTGTTAATCCTACTTAGAAACTCATGGCAACACCTTCTTTGGAGACCAGAGCTCTATTGGGAAAGCAGGGTAGAAATTTAATTCTAGTCCCCAGGGGAGAATCCAGAAGAACAGGAACTTTGGCTGGGTACAGAATGGGGTGGAATCTCTGACTTGTCTGAGAAAAAGTAACATGCTTTCATTAGTCAGAAAAGAAAACTGCCAGTTTCTGCCTGAAGCACAACTGTTGGCAAAGGAGCTTCAGAAGCAACTGCACAAGGAGAGCAAAGTTGGCAATGGTGTACCTCTGTGACTCATCAAAATCGCAGTTCGAACCAGAAACAGCCACTGAGCTTTGTCTTTGGCTTCAAACCTCAAAGTAGATTAAGGGGTGTGGGTCACAAGCAAAAAGGACTCTAAGTAAATGTGGAAGGAGGTGAAGTGCTTTGGAAACTAGTCAGTGGGATGGCAGCGGCACCAGAGAAGGCTCAAACCCCAATATAACGTGCATTACAGTACCTCAGGTGGGCCAAGCCCTCCAGGTAAGAGAACCCCTGCACACCAGCAAGAAGAGGCCATCTAAATGCAGTGTGGGCTGACAACTTGAAAAGAAATGCCCCAGCGAGGAGAGCGAGGTGGACTAGCCAACAAACATCTGACAAAATGCTTACCTTCAAGAAACATGAAAAAAATAACCACAAAAATAAAAAATGAAACCATGGTAAACCATTCTGCTTTCCCTGGGCAACAAAAAGGCATAATTCAGAAAAGACAAAAATGTTAGGGAGCATTTACACTAGTGGGAGCTGCCAAACACTTGCAGAAGTGTGATTCGGGCATCTAAGTTTGGAAAGAGCCTGCCACCCTCTAGTAACAGGTTCTGCACGCCTTGATCCAGCACTTCCCTACTTATGTCCCTACCGCTAGTCCTGCACTAACGTCCCAGGACAACATGTCCGAGGATGTCCGTGGGAGGACAGTCACCGGCAGGATGCCCATCACCGGGAGAGGGGACACCAGATCTGCTGTCATGCAGCAGCTGGGTGACATCGGTGGCGTGATGCTGAATCCCAGGCCAGGTGTGAAAGACCACAGACAGCAGGAGTCCATGTACACCAAGCTCAGAAACGGGCAACGCTGAACTGTAATGTTTAGGGAGGCATAGACACGCGGTAGAGCTAGAAGGAAAAGCCCAAAAACGCCCTCCTCAAAGTCAGGAGTGTGAGGGAAGAACCAACAGGAAGAGGGACTCACAGGGGCTTCTGGGTGCTGTCCACATCCAAGTTCTTGACTTTGATGGTGGTTGATGTGATTTATGGAATCTCACTCACTATGACTTTTTTAACTGTGCATAAACGTTCACTTTTCTGTGTGTATACTGCACAAAGCAATGGGAGAATCGGTCCACAACAGCATAAAAGCCCCATTTGGAGAGGTCTGAAATCATCCCTGAAGTCATCCCTGTGTGCTGCTAGAAGGATCCTATGGGGTAGGATATCCACATGGAGGGTGGAAGAGGGAATGGAAAATTGGGGATGGGGATGCCAGAGGACCTGGGGAGGTTCTGGTCAGGGCTGTGTCCCACCACTGAAAAGCAATCATCTTCCCCTTTTCACTTCATGCTTCAAGCCCATCCCTGTAAAATCCCCCTGGGGCGCAGGAGTAAGTCATGGTGTCTCAAGCATCCTCCCCCATTTTGGATCTGGCTCATTTTGCCCTGTGAAATGATTTGCTTTCTCATGGCAGCTTCTCAAAGGCAGAGGTAATTCCTGTCTTTCCCCTCCTGCCAACATTTAGGCCAATGCCTGACAAGTTGGTGTTTGTTGAATGACTGAATGAACTAAAGAATGCTTTACCTTCAACTGTAATTCCTTGTATCTCTTGGACATCCGAATGAGCAACTTCTCACCATTGATGACAGCAGATTTTTCATGGTAGTACTGGACCATGGCCTGGGCAGCTTCTGTGTATGCCATCTCTAAAAAAGCCTAGGAAAGAAAGGAATGACATACGCTGGACTTGACCTCAATGTTCTTAAACTAAACAGCACAAGGGCAGGTCCCATGCATATGAAGTTCGGGAATAAGCAAAATGATTTGATGATGATGATGACGATGGGACTTGGGTTTGGGCTTTCCTCTGGGGTGGGGAGTAGGGTGTTGACTGGAAAGGGGCCTGAAGACAGCTTCTGGAGTTCTCCAAAAACCCTATATCTTGCTTAGATGGTAATTACATGGTGTACACATGTAAAAAAAACTTAATGGAGTTGTATATTTAAGATTAGTACACTTCAGAGTATGTATTTTATACCTCAATAAAAATCAAATCAAATCAGTACAAGGAAGAGTTCTCTTTGATCCTACCTGTTCAAGGAGACCTATTTATTAACTTCACCAAAAGAGCTCATTATAGGACAGCCCCTCTCCTGATCCCCATGGGTACCAAACATTATTCCCAATTGTGGGTATCCATCCTGGGCCACACCACGCCAAGGGGCTCCTCTGGGCCGAGGGGGTGTGTTATCCACAGGTCTCCGAGGGGGAGGGGAACAGGGTGTGAGTCTTTGCACAGGTGACCTAGACTGATCCCTAGGAAATGCTATTTGGTGGCAGTGATGGCAGGAGGCATCACCCAAGTCCTGATTATCTGAGCTCCATGTTCTCTGCAAAGAAGGAAATATTCTAAAAATAAAAACCTCAGCAGTTCCCCAGGCTGAAAGGAAGGTCATGCTTCTTTGTCAGTGACTTTCCGCAGAATTTTCCCCTGTTATTTTACTCGTCAGATAAAACAGAAAACGCGGGCTTTCCATCCAACAATGCCTACAAAGTCTCTAAATGGACTGTCTTGACTGCTCTGGTATTTATCCCAGGAGCTGTGCTGGATTTGCACTGCTGATTCTCAGGTTTGATTGGCTTGTGCTATACCGAACATGTGCTGATTCCAGCCCCTTAAGGCTCAGAAGAGCCTTAAGGTCTGTGCCAAGGCTGCGGGTCCCCACTTGCTCACTTCCTTGAACTGTGAGGACTAAACAAGCTGCTTCCCTCTATCCCTGGCACTTATTGTAAAATTTAGATATGCCTTTCTCCAGGCTGCCACAGTCTAAGGCAGAAGTTTGGGGCACCAGGAAATCAAGATTCTTTAGGCTTTTATTTCAAAGGCAGCCACCCAGCTTTCTAAGTACAACTTTTATGATGCCAGCATGTCTCAGCCTCTAGCTCTCACTCGGCAAATGGGAAAAATACTAACCCAGTGTCTCTCTCATCATTAACATTGTAAGCTGAGTTTTGGACATCTACCCAAAATAAAGTCCTGAGAAGAAAGAGATGAGGTGAGTAATCTAATCCCTGGTTGCAGAAGGAAGACCAATGATCTGATGTAGCTTTGAGTCTCCAAAGGTTCTCCTATGTCTATTTTCCTGGCTCATAAAGTAAAACCACTTATTAAAAACAAAAGAAACACAACAGGTCCCTGCCTAATGTCTTTTTGTTCAATGTCATTTCATTGTAATGTTCAGAAGGAGTTTCCCAGCCCACATGGAACAAAGGACTTTATTCCAGCACCTGCTTTCATTATAGTCATTTCTCAGAAGGTGCAGTTTCCATCTATCCCTGGTGTTAGGTGAAGACTTACTGTGTTCTGATTTCTAGGCATTTGCTGTATAGACTCCCCCTCTGGCTGTAGAAATGCAGCAAAAAGTCCATCCCCAGGGGGAAGGGTTCTCTTTAGTTCCTTAGACTTCAGGCATCCATCCTTTCTCTTATTTGCCTGCTATCAGACCCAAGGGCCCCAGGTACTCAGGCCCAGGATCAGTGAGGAGACCTGTTCCCAGTGAGTTCTTGGCTGGGCTCCAACCCAGGCCATCAGATAGGATAGAAAAACTGTATCTTCTGAAGCTAAGACTGTAGAATTAGCTTGGAGGGTTGCCAACACGGTAAAAAGACTCATGTGCATGGATTTCTGTTGTGGAAGCCAGGTAGCTTTTCTATGTTAATGGGCACCTCTTTCCAAAGCACCTCCTCACCCCTACACAGCTCAGGAAGACATGTCTCCATCAAAAGAGCACGTGGGTGAAACAAGGAGCAAGAAAACACCACCACTGACAGTTCAGTTGTGTATCGCCTCTTTACGTCAGATGAGCTTCTTTATAAGAAAAATAATAATCACACACTTCTCCTCCATCTGGTACATGCTACTGTAAAGCACCCAACCCACCTGGTTCGTGGACTTCATGAGGATGTAATTAGTAACCTTGCCGAAGGGCAGCCCCAGGTTGATGACATCATTCTCTGTGCAGCTCCCTTCGGGGAGATTGCAAATGTGCACCACACGCCCAGCACCTGACTTCCGCTGTGTGAACTAATGGGAACAGAGAATAGTGGTTGATCTTCAGAGATATTTCCCTCTTGCCTTTTATTTCAGATGTTCCTCCTGGCTCACTTTCCCCAAATAACAACTGCAATTTATAAAATTAGTGCAGAAAATCATGTTTCTTGAAAACATAAAAATATAAGTTTATGGCCCTCCCTGGTGGCGCAGCGGGTTAAAGCACAGCACTGAGAAGCTAAAGCTGCTTCCGCATGAGTTCGACTCCCGCCTGCCCCGGAGGAGACCACATGGCGCGGCAGACCTCTCCTGACCCGCCCGCTGCTCCCCTCAGCAGTGTACTTCGTCGATCTGCCTGTTCTGCTCCCCACTCTGTCTCTGGTGAAGCCTCTCACCGCCCCTGAGCCTCTGGCCTGTACCCCAGTTCTGTATGCACGAATAAATAAATCTTTAAAAAAAAAATATCAGTTTTACACCATCTCTTTTCAAAAGAGATCTGTAACATTTTAAAGGAATAATCAGTAACAACCAGGGCTCTTGAAGAGATGAGGAAATTGTTAGTGGGAGATTGTGCATCTAAAGCCTTTTGAGACTATACTTTAGCAAGACTTAATAAAAGTTAGTATCTGCAATTTTTCACAATAAAAATATTTCTTTTTCTTTTTTTTAACGACTTATTTATTTATTCATATAGAACTGGGGTACAGGCCAGAGATGTGGAGGGTAAGAGGATTCACCAGAGACAGAATGGAGAGTAGAACAGGCAGATCAACGAAGCACACTGCTGAGGGGAGCAGTGGCCGGGTTAGGAGAGGTCTGCCGCGCCATGTGGATCTCCAGGGCAGGCGGGAATCGAACTCATGTGGAAGTAACTTAAGCTTCTTACTGCTGTGCTTTAACCCGCTGCGCCACCAGGGAGGGCTCAATAAAAATATTTCTAAAGGTTATCAGCACAGACAGAGAAAGGCATGCAAGACACATGTCCACCTGTTGACACATCTTAACTTCCAAGAGCCAACTAGGAGGGAGGAAGGGAGAGGTGGACTTTTCCTCTATTTATCTCATGTTCCTTGATCTACAATTTTAAAAAATTCCTATGAAGTTGAGGCCCTCTGTGGTGGCACAACGGGTTAAAGCACAGCACTGTGAAACTAGCTGCAGCCGCTTTGGTGTGAGTTCGATCCCCGCCCTGGAGCTGAACCACATGGCACAGCAGACCCCTCCTGTCTCACCCGCTGCTCCCCTCAGCAGTGCACCTCAGCGATCTGCCTATTCTTCTCCCCACTGTCTCTGATGAATCCTCTCACCATCCCTGTACCTCTGGCTTGTACCTCAGTTCTGTATGCATAAATTATAAGTAAATCTTAAAAAAAATTCCTATGAAGGAAAAGAGCATAGAAAGCACTGTGGGAACCTAATACATACACATGGCCATTCACAGCTACCATCTGCGGCCTGAGCAGTGGCTTTCAAAACTCGCAGCCCTATCTTCAGCAAAAGCATGTTCACCTGCTCAATCTAGTCACCATGTAAAAGAGACGCTCTAGTAAAAACCCGGGGTCCAGCACCCTGCTACACCCCTCCACCTGGAAGTCCCATAAAGACGCCAGAGAACACAGCTTGCAAGTCAAGGTCTGGGCCTTCTCAAAGCTCTTAAAGGGAGTAAGCAGGGATGAGTGGTCTGTGCAAACCTGGATCAGTCCAGAGTCTCCGGAAGATGGGGTAGTTCAGACATTAATAAACATAAGCCAAGCCAACACACAAGAGAAAGAAGCAATCTTCCAACCTGAAATTCATTCTAGCCCCTTTGCATAATCACCATTTTCTATGATAAAGTGAACTTCACAATCTAATTACATTTGATATGGATCCAGTCCTGCTAAGGTAGCAGAGTGGGAAAGTCTCAGCTTTCAGCCCTAACACAGGCTAATACTTGGGCAATCCGGCTTGAGAAAGCCTCTTTGTCTCCTCTGGGCTGAGGACAATTTGACAACAAGAACCTCCCTTGTGGTGCAGTCCTGAATTGGAGAAACTCCAGTGCCCCTTTCAGAGCTCCCTGCTGTGATGTCCAGAGGTCAAGCACTGTCCTCCAGGGGAACAGGCCTCAGTGTGTGACCCCAAGACATCCCCTCACCTCCCTAGGCTGGGCGATTCAGAATCCAGGTCTGGCTAACAAGGACGGAACCCTCTCCAGGGATTACCACCAGTAATTGGCAGGGTCTTTGCCTCTCATTAGTGTGAGTGGTCCACATACAGCAGACCCAGCTGAGCCCCAAAGCACGGCAGAGGCGCTGATCCCCTGAGGGTATCAGAAGGACTGAGGCTGGGCTCTGCCCACTTCCTCTCAGCACTGCGTGTCCCCCACATGTGGCTTTGCTGTGATGGGCCTGAGCTCACGTGTGCTCGACCACAGAGCAGATGCTCCAGCAGAGCGGGGCCATCGCCACTCCTCATCTGTCCAGTTGCCTAGTGACGGGGCGAGGTCCTCGCGCGGGCCAGGGCCTCTCTCACTGTCTGCTCGGGACTGAAGGATAATCCAAGAGGCTGTTATCTGAGTGTGAGTGCAGGAAAAGCAGCCGCCAGGCAGAACAGTGAGCACCTTCGCCACTGCCAGAGCCCTGGCTGATCACGCTGCAGACATGGTCAGAGAGACACGGACATGAACGGGTCTAAGTGAAGATCTTCACTCACATTTTAAAAATACATTCCACAAGGCCTCTGATTTGCCCAAGACTGAATCAGAATCGGAAGTGGGATTTTCTCAACTCCTCTGTTGTCATGAGAATGAGGAAATGTTTCTGTCCTTCCAGTTAGTGATACTAAGTTGGAGGCTCACAGCCTGTGACCCACAGGACCACACACGAGCCAGGGCCCTGACCCCAAGTGGGGACGAGCAGCATCCTCTGCTGAAAAACTGGACTTTTTTATCATTTTCTAAGTGAGCCTGAATAGAGTCTGGGAGCTGACGGGGTGCCTGGTCTCGGCTTGTGGGGAGTACTATCCAGTTAGAAAGAGAAACACTTCTGGGCTCTCCCTGGTGGTGCAATGGGTTAAAGCCCAACATTACAAAGTTAGCTGCAGCCACCTCAGCACGAGTTTGTTCTCTGGCCAGGGAGCTGACCCACATGGTGCTGCAGACCTCTCCTGTCTCCCCTGCTGCTCCCCTCAGCAGTGTGTTTCAGTCAGTCCACCTGCTTTTCCCCCACTCTCTCTGGTGAATCCTCTCACTGTCCTTGCATCTCTGGCCTGTATCCCAGTTCTGTGTGCAAAAATTAATAAATAAATAAATCTTTAAAAGAGAAACACTTTTGATGTGTTTATGTATTAAATAAATACTTTTGCAAATATTTGGATCTAGGCTAATTCACTCTACTTTCTTTTCTGCCGTTGATCTAACCAATCCTTTAAACTCAGGTTCAAAGTCTTTTGATTCACAAAGGGTGGAGAGGTATATGTATTATCACTCTGTTCTCTTCCTGAAACAGTTTATATAAACCTGATTATGATTGGCTTTATGCCCTATGGGGGCACTGAATGATGAGGGAGAAAAGGAGGGAGGGATGGAGAGGTCTGGGGAGCTGAGTGGAAGGGAGACTGCAACCTTAGGTGGGACTTCTGGAACCAAAGGGTTCCCTGGAAGCAGGAGGCACCGTGCTCAGCATTAAATCTCACCCCCCTGCGCTCACTAATAAGTCCCTGGGGGCCTTTGAAGTAATAATACTCAAGTGAGGATCGTTATCTTTTGACATTTGACTAACCTAGGTTCAAATCAAAATTTGAAAATTAGAATCTTCCTTATCAATACAGCAACCTGGTTATGTTTCAGACTAATTAGAAAGTCTGATGAGTATCCGTGTTTTTGATTAATAAAAATGGGTCACTAGTTAATCACTCACTAATATAAGCACTTGGGCAGATACAGTACTTTTCCAGACATGGAATACAGGATGACTGCTTGAGAGGGAAGTAAATAATTAACAGGGCTTTGGGTTGTAAAAAGCTCTGGACTTCATGATGTAGAGGAGGCCTTATAATGGGGGCTTAGATTGCACCCCAGTTCAGAACTGTGAGGTGCATGGTAGGGAAAACTAGTTTTCTCTCTAGGTGTGAGTTTCCCAGTGGCTAGACTGAGGGGATGCTTTATACATCTAAAGTCCTTTCCAGATGTTAAATAGCCACACTTATGTGGCTCTAAGTTCTAAAATTCCATTCCTTTCAGAATATTGCCAAGCTACACCTTAAGATAAGGGTAATGCCCCAACCGCACTGGGCATAAACAGGAAACCTGTGTCTTTCCCACTCCGGCCCCAGTGAATGAAGTTTGTCCCTCTCTGTAAGGGATGGATGTTTGCAATGTGCATGCGTTCACAACAGGCTCCTCTTGCAGACACACCTGTCTGCGTTGTGAGGGACCTCCCTGCTGCAGGGTTGAAGGTATGCCTCAGAGTAAGAACCTTCCTGAACGACTCTGCTTCTACAGTGTGAGAGGAGCAGCCCTCAGGCACTGAGGTGAGCTAGACACCTGGCCAGAGCCTTGGCAAGGCCAGACACACATCACCACGTGTGTGCTTCGCGGTCTGCAGACACGGTACAGGTGCATGGAGAGCCAGACAGGCTGAGTCTGGGTCTCTGCTCCCCAATGACTAAACTGGGGCAAGTTACTGAATCTCTCCCAAACGCTGTTTACTTGTCTATAAAACGGAGGTGTGGGTGGCGGGAATCTTGATCCCATAGAACGGTGTAGAAGACAAAACTGCCATAATTTATATGAGATGTCTTGGTCCAAGGCCTGACATCCGAAAGACTCTGAGACATAAATATTTATCTCCTTTCCTCCACCAGGTAAATGCTAGCTGATCTTGGGCTTGGAAAAAAAAAAAAAAATGTTACTGTGATTATACAAAGTGCATGTTCTGCTCTACATGCTGCTGTAGTTAGGCATGAGGATTACTGTCTTCACTGGTTCCAGGAAAAGTAATCACTGGATGAGAGAGAGAGACAGATGGAGGGTGGTGGACACACACACAGAGAAT